TTCAATATACAGAAATATGATGCATTTCTATATAGCAATAATGAAGTAGCAGAAAGAGAAATTAAGAAAACAAGCCCATTTACAACTGCACCAAAAATAATAAAATACCATAACCAAGGAGGTGAAAGACCTCTACTCTGAAAACTATAAAACACTGATGAAAGAAATTAAAGATGACACAAATGGGAAGTTACTCCACGCTCATGGATGAGAAAAACCAATATTGTCAAAATGTCCAGACTACCCAAAGCAATCTACAGATTTGAAGCAATCTCTAACAGAATACCAACAACATTTTCACAGACCTACAACAAATAATCCTATAATTTGTATAGAACCCCAAAAGACTCCAAATAGCCAAAGGAATCCTGAGAAAGAAGAACAAAGCTGAGATATCACAATCCCAGATTTCAAGATATACTACATAGCTGTAGTAATCAAAAGTAAAGTATGGTATGGCATAAAAATAGACACATAGATCAATGGAACAGAATAGAGAGCCCAGAAATAAACCCATGATTATATGGCCAATTAATTTGTGACAAAGGAGGTAAGAACATACAACAGGGAAAAGACAGCTTCTTCAACAAATAATGCTGGGAAAACTGCACAGCTACATACAAAAGAATGAAACTGGACTACTTCCTTATCCATACACAAAAATAAACTCAAAATGGATTAAAGACCTAACTGCGAGACCTGAAACCATAAAACTCCTCGAACAAATCATAGTAATTTCTTTGCCATCAGCCACAGAAACATTTTTCTAGATATGTGTCCCCAGGCCATGGAAACAAAAGCAAAATTGTCTAATTTTTATTGGGACTACATCAAAATGAAAAGCTTTTGCATACTGAAGGAAATCATCAACAAAATGACAAGGCAACCTACTGAATGGGAGAAGATATTTGCAAATGATATATCTGATAAGGGGTTAATATTCAAAATATATAAAAAACTTATACATACAATTCCATAAAACCAAATAATCTGATTTAAAAATAGGCAGAGGACCAGAGAATAGAATTTTTCCAAAGAAGATATACAGACGACCAACAGACATGTGAAAAGATGCTAAACATCACTAATCATCAGGGAAATGCAAACCAAAATCACAATGAGATATCACCTTACACCCATCAGAATGGCTAGAATCAAAAAGACAAGAGATAACAAGTGTTGGGGAGGATGTAGAGAAAAAGGAGCCCTTTTGCACTGTTGGTAGGAATGTAAATTGGTGCAACCACTGTGGAAAACAGTATGGATGCTCCTTAAAAAATTAAAAATAGAGTTACCATATGATCCAGTAATTCCACTACTGGGTATTTACCCAAAGGAAAAGACATATGCATCCGATGTTTATTGCAGCATTATTTACAATAGCCAAGCTATGGAAGCTACCCAAATGTCCATCCACAGATGAATGGATAAAGAAAAAGTTGTACATATGCACAAAGGACTATTACTCGGCCATGAAAAAGGCTGAGATCTTGCCATTTGCAACAACATGAATGGACCTTGAGCATATAATGCTAAGTGAAGTAAGTCAGACTGAGAAAGACAAATGCCATATGATTTCACTCATGTGGAATTTAAGAAACAAAACAAATGAGCAAACAAAGGGGAAAAAGAGACAAAAAAAACAAGACTCTTAAATATAGAGAACTGGTGGTTAGCAGAGGGGAGGTGGCGGGGGTGGCTGAAACAGGTAATGGGGACTAAGACCACACTTACCATGATGAGCACTGAATAATGTACACAGCTGTTGAATCACTCTATTGTACATCTGGAACTAATATTATATTATATAACAATTATAAATTAATATAACAATATACCTGAAACTATATAACTAATACAAGTATAGATTAATTACACTTCAATAAAAAAAGAAAAAAAGAACCACAGTAATGCAAAAATACCTATTCTCCACTGAAATAGCTATCACCACTTTCCAGCATTATGAAAGGCTCTTATAAAATAGCAGGGCAAAAAAGTCACAGTATTTTTCTCCTCCTCCTCCCTCTGGCATCACATTGACCAGTCTGGAAGGCGCAATCTCCCTCCCCGTCCTCTCAGACATCATGCTGCCCCCTCTCCCTTGCTTTTTCCTAACAGAGGCTCCCCTCCAACATATCAATCACTCTAGGCAAAATGTATACCCCTCCTCATCCCATTCTGTCTTACAAGATCGGACTGATGAAAAGAAAGGAGCTGTAGCAGAGACTAGGACAGGCCCCCACGCACCAGGCCTCCAGAGGAAAGATATTGTCAACAGGCCAGTGACAGCACCAAAACCCTGCCTTCAGCATGCCCACGCATGGCTGTCCTCACCCACCAGCCCCCCGCAGGGCGTCGGGCATGGCCGTGCAGGCCCTGGATCAGCAGGGCCCAACACTGCCTCTTTCAACCACCCCAAGGGACAGACACTTTCCTTCAGAGAGAGCAACTCACTCTGGCAGGGGAGGGGTCCTTCGTGGGGACAGGGGACTGCGGTGAGTCCCCTGGAAATGAACCAGAATAGTCACAGTGATTCCTTCAGTTTTCTACATCCAGGAAGAAGGAAACACTAACACTAAGGTAGAGGATAGAAGCAAGAGCTTGGGATAAAAGAATTATTTAAGCCAAGACTTCAAGCCATTCTAGCTGAGTCTAGAGAGTGAGTTTTTACTAACAAATCAGAAGGCTGTACTGTCACAACTGATACGTTATTAAACACTACATCTGAAACTAATGATGTATTCTATGTTGGCTAATTGAATTTAAATAAAGAAAAAAGACTGTATCGTCCTGGTCAACACAAAAGAATGTTCTTATGGTAGAGACGAACAACTGTCCACCAAAATTCCTGCCCACCTCTTCATAGTATGGAACTGCCCCTGGGAAGTGCCTGTCCAGGAAGGGACTAACTTTTCCAGCTTCCTTCCCAGCCCAACAGGGCCACATGACAGGCTCTCCCCAATGGTTTGATGTGTGAGTGATGAGGGTCACCTTTAGACCCATCCCCGTTGCCTTTCCCCTTCCATTGAAATACAATGGACTCCACAGGCCTAGGGAACTGTAGAGCCCCTTCTAGAAGGAAGCAACCAGAGTCTCTGGACCTCCTATGATGGGGAGCAGCCCATTGCCTGGAGTGCCCACTCTAGAAAAATCATGTCCTTTGGCTGTGCTTTTGGGTTCTTACCTCATGTCGTGTTAAGTCACTGAAAGTCTGGGGTTTATTACAGCACCTAGGGTTATCCTAACCCATCCCCTTACCTCCCTAAGTAAGGAAAGTGGTCAGCTGAGCTTGGGGAACCCCTTCTCTTCTACCTGGGGCTTGGGCAGAAATAAATCAATGGGAGAAAATGCTCACCACTGCCCAGAGAGTGGCCGGTCCCACACCGATGGACAGGGACTAGGGGGCAGACACTCCGAACGTACTGCTATAGCAGCTCCAGCTGGTGCTTTATCCCTCTTTCTAGGGTGAGGCCCTAGAACACCCCATCCTACTGCTCTGACTTCCCCAGGACACACCTGAGCCAAGTCCACAAGGAGTCCTGACTCCTTGTCAGCTAGAAGCTGCATAGCCTCCTTCACAGTAAAATGCCCAGCGCTGCGAGAATCTCCATCCTGGGACCAGGACTGCAGGTGGGCATGAAGAGCGGCTGGGGGATCACGGACGCCATTCCTCTCATCTTTTCACCACACACCCACCCAAAGGAGTTGTGGCTTTTCCTTGTTCGGCAGCCAGCGTCAGAGGCCTTCCTTGGCCTATACCATGAGGGCAGATGAGGAGGAATGGAACAGGCTGGCCCCATGTCCCCAAAGGGAACCCAAAAGCACAGCCAAAGGACATCGGCCCCACAGCTGGCGTGTCCACCACCATTTCCCTCTGCACAAAGGAGTCAGCTTCTTGACACACTAGTTGTGATTTACTTTAAAATACTCCAGCAAGGGGCTTGGATCAAACAAGACAGGCCAATGTTGATATTTGCAGAAGACAGATGGAGGGTCTACGGGGATTCATTATACTAGCATCTCTCTTGACTTCTGTGCGTGTTGGAAACTTTCTACATAAAAAAAACTTTTTTTTTTTTTTTTTTGGCAAAGGAAATTTCTCGACAAGTCATAGGAGAAGAGGCTCACTGAATTAATGCCACTCTCTTCCCGATGCCTCCTCAGGATGCTGTGGTTACTCTCATGAGGAGGAGGTGTTTACAACAGGCAGATTTGTGGGATTTTTCTACTCCCATTAATATTTAGTACATGTCATTATCTCCAAACCTAATCACTTAAAGAAGAGATCTTTAAATAATTGATGCCTACAAAAGAGAAGAAAAGCCACACCATGTTTTTTTTTCATTATCCATCAAAACCCAGAAAACCTCTTCGTCTGGCCCTGACATGGACACATAAATATATTAATGCACACACTGAGAAAAACACGCATACAAATCAATAGACATGAATCTGCTCGGGTACTTTCCCAATGGGAAAACTATCCTCTCTTTTCCATCTCCCATGTGGCCTGCTCCTCCCTGGCACGGGGCCACGGCAATAGGAGAAGGGGTTCCAGCGGCACCCCTGTGCTCTTCTATTCAAAAAACATCCTCCTCTGAAACTCCGAGTTTCAGTCCCCAAAACACACACGCAGCTAACCTTTCTTGAACTCTGATGAAGTAGGTGCTGCTCGTGTGCTCGTGTTTACACGCCTAGCACCTATACTTACTAAAATGTCTTTGTTCCCAGCACGTCCACAGAGGACAGCACCCAAACAGAACAAAGGAAGAGGACGCTACATGAGCATCTCCAACGGGCACTCTCCGAAGCGGAGAAGGTAGGATGCGCAGTGGTTGTTACCTATGAGCCCTTCTGCACTGGGAGGTTCCGCTTCTATAAAGGTCTGTGGCCCGCTTTCTGCAAAGAAGCCAGAATTCTCTCTGCCAGCACCTTTAAAGCACTCACACCCCCGCAGGGACCCTGCTCCCAGGCGGCCGTGGGGACAGGTGCAGACTTACCACAAGGGAGAGAGGCCTCTTCCAGGAGACCACACCGATGAGCCCCGAGAGCAGCACCTGCAAGGACAAATGGTGCGGGAAGGTAAGACTCTTTGGAAACCTTTAACGGACAATCAACATGGTCCTGCCGTCTCACCTTGAAAAAGGACTACTTCTAGAATCCGGCCCACATGCATGAGCTGGGGAGAGTGGGACACACAATGAGGCTTGTTGTGCGCCCGGACGCTCACAGCCTGCAGCGCTATGGACAGCACGCAGGCCTCCAAGACCACCAGGAGCTCCTGTGAGGTCACTTATGCTCTGCATGCACGGGCCCCGGAACAGATGCACCTGCTGAAAGAGCCTCCACTGGGCACTCCCTCCACTCTGGTCCCGTGAGTTATTTGGTTGTGTGACTTAAAAATCACAGAGAGGAGTACAAACACTACTTTGGGGAAAAGCGGAGCTCCCCCCTTGCAGGTCACCTGGCCACCTGCCTTCTGCGCATGGGTGCTGGGCATGGCCGACCTGGCAGGCCCCCCCCTCCTTTCCCACACTTGGTCCCCCAGCCAGCTTCCCATGTCCCCAGGAGACGGTGCCACCAGATGAGGCCCCCAGCTTCCCACACACTGACACTGAGCTGCCGGCTCCTTTCCCAGGCCGGCCCCTGGCCTCCGCGGCCCCTGGTCCCACTGAGCATGGCCCCTCCAGGACCTCTTCTAGCAGCCACCCCCCCTCCCCCGGCTCTTCCCTGTTGCCCTAACCCCATGAGCACCCTTGTGTCTTCTGTCTCAGGAGAACCACCCCTCAGGTCCTGGCCCACAATCCCTGAGGCACACGCTGGCCACTGATCCAGACATTCCCAGTCTCCTTGGGTCCAGGCAGGGCCGACAGATCAGGGAGACACAGCTGCTCCCTCCCCACTACAATCTGGCTTTGGCCCTCACCACTTGCACACACACTTCCCAAGGTCACCGGAGGGGTCGCTGAGTGCAACACACAAGTGCAGTGATCAGTTTGAAGACCTGAGGTTAACCACATCCTCCTGTGGGAGGCCCCCTCTCCACTCGGCTTTGCATCACTCCCCAGATGTCCTCCCACCTCGTCCTTCCCTTCCCGCGCCCCAAGACCTCTCCTCAGACCTTTGGCTCCTCCACCCAGTGGCTCCACTGGAGATCCATCTATCATTCAGGGTCCTCTAACACGTGCTGATTCACACGGTCCACTGGGCACCGCTCCTGGTGTCACTCTCCACCTCAACATGTCCCAAAATGCACCTGCGGTCTCTACCTCCCCAACCCAGTCTCTCTCTCGTCACCTCTGCCTCCTACAATGGCACCCCTCCTCCCGGTCACTCAAATCCAGATCCGAGATGGTCCCGTCTCTCTCACCCCCAGCATCCAACCAGACACAGAGAGGAGGAGGCTGCAGCTGCCCTTCTGCCAGGGCAATATTCTGGGAGGCCCCACTATAATAAGTAAGGTATTTTCATACGAGGTCTGCTGTAAAGATAAATCACCCCAACTTTCTGCTGTGCACACGGGCCAGGCTGTCAGGTCCTGGGCTGGAGCGCTTTGTTCATTTCCCCTGGGATTCCAAAAGGACTTGCCCAGGCCTGGGAGGAGAGTATCCTACTGAACAGACTCCCAAGGCCCCCCTGGCAACAGACTCCAGTTAACCCTTAAACACTTCTGCAGACTTAGACCCAATAGTCTCTATCAACCCGTACATCATGTTAGTCTCAGGTGGATTTCCAAACACACGTGGACCAGAGGTTCGTATAAAAGACTTCTGAACCTCATTCATACACACACACACACACACACACACACACACACACACTAAAGAAACAAAATGAACCAAAGAGAGCTCAACAGGGCTCTGCTCCCAAGCATGTCACATATATATTCTTTCTTCAATGCACACATCTTGCAAACACAGTCAATATCGACAAATAGTATTTACGAACGCTTTCCCATATCCCAAATCTCTCTTCATGATGCCACCCAGCTGCAACCTGTATGGAAATCCTTGACTACTGTTCTCCTGTGTCTCTCTGCGCCCCAGTCCCTCGTTCTTCATCCACAATGTCTATAACCTCTCTCTTCCCTTCTATACCCAACCCACTCTCCCTCTTGTCATCTCTCCTCCCACAATGGCACCCCTCCTCCTGATCACTCAAATCCAAATTCTGGAGATGTCCCCAGCCCAGCTGGCTCTGACCCTGCCATCTCCTTAGGATATGACTTCCAAAGAGTGTCCTCTGTTTTCCCTTGATGCCAACACCAGCCTGACCCAAATAAAGCCTGGACAGAGGATGGGAAGGTACACCTCCCAGAATATGTCCGTTTATACTCTGCCTTCCACTTCCCACTTCTACCATAAAAAATTTTACCTGTTCTTCAAGACATGGCCCAATGCCTTCTCATTCAGGAAGGGCCTATGAATTCATGAGTACATGGGGCCCCGCTAAATCCCTAAACTACCACCAGACCTCTCGAGGCATGTTTAATGAGCTCAGACAGAACTCCTTGATCTTTTCTTCTAAGCTGAAGTTTATAAAACTGTCAAATGTCTACAGTGACCAAGTTGCTTGTAACAGAAATATTACTGGAAACCCACAAACCTTCAGAGAGCAAGCATTTAAAAACACAAAGGAAGTTAGTTAATATCACTTAAATTAGGCTACAGTAAAAATTCTTAATTTTCCTTGCCTCCATCCTACAGTTATCATTCCATGAGTCCCCTCAAATAATTTTACCTCCAATAATATGGACAGTTGGCTTTACTGAAGAAAATGTTACATTCCTAAATATCATTAATAACTGTAATTACAGATGGATCCAATTCCCCAACACAAAGGAAAAAAAAAATAAAACCATCGAACTCAGTGTGGCATGCAAATCCTAAAATAATCCCTGATGACCCATGGCCTTGTCTAAAGCCCTTCCCTTGATTATCAATATGATGGGTTATCACTCCTGTGATCCTACTCAGTGACACTTACAAAGATGTTGCCCCAGGAACACTTTGCAGCCTTGTAAGACCCTGGCCAGTTGACTCAGCTAGGCCATGTCCAGACTCCTGACCTAAGAAAACTCTGAATGGTGTTGTGTTAAGCTATAAAGTCTGTGGTACTTTGCGACACAGCAGTAGAAAACTATTTATTGTGGACTAAATGTTTGTGTCCAGACCCAAATCCTAACCCCCAGTGTGATGGTATTTGGGGGTAAGACCTTTAGGAGGTAATTAGGGTTAGATTAGGTTGTAAGGGTAGGGCCCTCATGATGGGATGGTGGCCTGACAGGATGAGAAAGATCTCTCTCCATCTCTCTGTCTCTCTCCCCACATGTGCACACCATGGAAAGGCCACATGAGGACACAGTGAGGTTTTGACAGCCTGAAAGACAGGAAAGGGGTCCTCACCAGAACCCAACTCTGATCTCAAACTTCCGACCTCCAGAACTATGAGAAAATAAATTCCTATAGGTCAAACCACTGAGTCTATGGTATTTCATTATGGCCACCCGAGCTTATTAGTACACTAATACTAATAATTAAGAGTGGAATATTGTATTCTTGTCTTCAAATGTCAACTCTCTCCCCATGTCTCCCCAGAAGAAGCAGACTTCCCTGCCCCTCGATCTAGAAAACCGGAACACCAGAAAACCAGAAGAGGCCTCCTCTGGTCCACTTGGCACCAGAGAAGAAAGGAGAATAGACTTGCTCAGAAATGACCAGGTCTTAGTTTGAACTATTTTTTTTTTTTTCTCAATTCCAGCTACCAGTGAGAATTATGTTGCATGTTCTGCCACCTCAGTAATTCTGCAGGTTTATTTTGTACCACTTTGGTGAGGGACAGGGTCATGGAGCTAGTGAGCCGTGAAATTACTGCATCTTATGAAACCTTTGTCCTATTTAATTTGCCAGTATCATTATTCAAAGTCCACAGTTTACACAAGAATATGAAGAAACTGAAGAGGGTCAGAGAAGAGTAACATGTAATTAAGTAGCTATGAAAGAAAAGCCAAAAAAGAATGTGAAAGTCATGATATTGCTCAGAAAGAGAGGCTTAACTTTTCGAGCACCTGCAAGTTGTTAAAAGAACACCAACCCACTTTTTTTTTCCTCCACTTCCCGCCCAGCCTAAATAGAGGCAAGTGATAATAAGAATGAGACAGAATTTCCTGCTGTTGAGGGTGATGAACGGGGACAACAGACTGCCAGGAAGTAATGGCATCTTTAGAGCCAAAGGGCTTCCTGTTTGATTGGTACTGCCGCCTGAACACAGAGGCCCGGAAGAAACTAGCTCTTTAAATCCTGTCCTCTAAGATCGAAAAGTCCTTTCATTGCCCCAAATCAAGAATTTTCTTCAGAGCTTCACTTCTGGTTCAAAGGCAAATGGTAATGCGACATTTTAGATAGGGAAGCCAGTCCTTCTAGAACACAGACTTGAAAGCCAATTCAATTATTTCACAAAACATATGGCAGGTGGGCCTAACAGCTACCGCGGTATCAATTTACCGCTAAGAAGCCAGACCTCACAACTGTCTGGAGAAAGAACTGTTGTCGCAAAAATGGAGCAAATAATATTCTGAGCTGCCTGGAATGAAGGAAGTCTGCAGAGCCCATCTCTCCAAACTTTTCAGACTCTAAACCTGTGCTATGCAAAATTCTTCCTTCTGCTTCATGGAGTAGCTGAACCTCCGACTTTATCCGACTGACATTTTCTTTTCTTTCTGGGTGGTTTTGTGTGTCTGGGTCTCCCTGGGGCCACATGGCAGGGCTGACTCCATTATGCAAACCCTCAGCCTTCTGTGTCCATCTCAGCTCCCTTCTGGGAGACATACATGCCTTCCCATCCACCCCCCTCCATGGCTTCTGCCTCCTTCTCTCAGAACAAGCCCTAACCCACCATTCTCTCTCCCAACCATTCACCCCCATCTGCAGTCCTGACTTTCTCCACTTCCTGCTGGAGGCTTCATCAATACATCAAACTCAAAACGTCCACAAGGAAAGCAAGCCACTCTCCTTCTCAACCTACTTCCTCCACGATAGAAAAGAATTCTGTAGCTTTC